TCTGAGGCAGTATCACTACAGAAGTAGATTGCCCAACCTTCTTTCCAAGGAGTGGCTGGTGGGTTTGAACCACCAGCCTTCTGGTTAGCAGTCAAATGCCTTAGGCACTACACCATCAGGTATATGTATATGCATTTATAAATATATATGCACATATATTTATATACATAATAAGCACAAAGGGGACATAGTTACAGAAATTTCCTAGACATACAAAACACTTTGTGGGACTGGATTTCTGGGTTTGAAGGATTAGGGCCGCAGTCTCATGAGACATCTCAGTCAATTGGCAAAACATAGTTCATAAAGTTTGTTTCATAACCTTTCTACATCCTAGTTTGGTGAGTAATATCTGGTGTCTTCAAAGCTTGTGAATGGCCATCTAGGGTAGACCTACTGGTCTCTATTCATGTGGCACAAAAAAGAAAGAAGAAAACCAAACACTCAAAGAATAAACTAGTCTGTCTACAGGACAAATGAACCATGGCCTCATCTACCCTGAGATTGTAAGTACTACATGGTGCTCAGTTACTACTATCATCCTCTAATTACAACAGATTGACCCTGATGGAATGGGAGAAAAATGTGAAACAGAAACTCAAATTCCTAAAAAAAAAAAACAAAAAAACCCTATTAGGCTAGTTGAGTCTGGAAAACTCCCCAAGACTATTGCTCTCATGTAGTCTTCAAACCTTGAACAAAAATTAATCCCTGAGGTAACTTTGTAGCTAAATAACAAATTAACTCAAAAATACCATATTTTTATGCAAACATGTGCATTCTGGTTTTTTGGCAGCCATGTCCTACCCTCAACCTAAGGTATTTTTATAAATTCACTATGCTAAATTTTTTTACCAAAAAAAAAAAAAAATTACCATCATGTGCTGAAGAAAACACCTCATGGGAGAAAGGCGGAGTCGACAAAAAAAATGTAGAACATACACATTATTTGCACTAAAATACAATAATGAATATCATCAGTAAGTACTGTGCTCCTTTAATAAAAAAAAAAGTCACCTATGTGAGACAAAAATAGTCAATGATTACTTTAAAACAAAGATGAGAATGTAAAGAGGCAGGAAAACTAGATTAATGAAAATGGAACAACTAGAATAGAAATAATGAGAATGTTCACAAATTGTGAAGAATGTAATCGATGTCACTGAAAAAGTTTTGTAGAAATTTTTGAAGGGGAGCCTAACCTGTTATGTAAACCTTCAGTAGAACACAATAAAATATTATTTGAAATAATAATATTAAAGCCCATTAGAAGAAAGGAAAGATATCTAACATACATACTTAACTCTGGGATACAGTACCAACAGCAGGTACAAACTGTGGGAACCGTCTTCTGAGCCATTCAGGAGCCTATGCATCTTCTCAACACTCCCTAACCCCGTCTCACTTCTAAACTCCTCATTGCACCAACATATACACTCATCCTGCATGCACCCTACTCCTCTTATCTCTATCACCAATGGGTGATAAGAACTTTCTGGAGAAATAGAAATATCCTGGATCTTGTATCTAGATTGTTGTTGTTGTTGTTATGTGCCGTCGAGTCGCCCCGACTCATAGCGACCCCTCCTTGGGTTTCCGAGGCAGTATCCCTAGGGAAGTAGGATTGCCCAAACTTCCTTCCAAGGAGTGGCTGGTGGGTTTGAACCGCCAGCCTTCTGGTTAGCAGTCAAGTGCTTTAGCCACTATGCTACCAGAGCTCCTGTATCTAGATTGGGGTGGTGGTTATGTGAGGAATATATGTGGCAAAAGTCATCAACCTGTCCAAATAAAATATGTGAATTTAACCTTTTGTAAATTATACCCTAATAAACCTGAGTTTAATTATGTAGGTGGAATAAAGCTTTCAGGACCTTCATTTGCTATGTGGCACGACTCAAAATGAGAAGACACAGCTACAAATATCCATTAGTAATTAGAATGTGAAATGTACAAAGTATGAATCTAGGAAAACTGGAAGTTGTCAAAAATGAATGCTTAAAGATCAATATCGTTGGCATTAGTGAGCTGAAATAGACTGCTATTGGTCATTTTAAATCAGACAATCACACAATCTACTAAATCAGACAATCACACAATCTACTAAATCAGACAATCACACAATCTACTAAATCAGACAATCACACAATCTACTATGCTGGGATTGGGAAAGTAAAGACGAATGACATCATATTCATTGAATATGATAGGATAATATCCATACACCTAATAGGCAGAAGGATATCATGCTTGCTAAAGTAGAGGACCAGCAAAAGAGAGGAAGAGACAAACACAGTGATATAGACACAGTGGCTACAGCAGCGGGCTCAAGCAAAGCAACATTTGTGAGGATGGTGGGCATTGTTTCCTTCTGTTGTACATACACAAAAAAACCAAACTCACTGCTATCGAGTGAGATCTGACTCATAGCGACCCCTCCTTGGGTTTCCGAGGCAGTATCACTATGGAAGTAGATCGCCCAATCTTCCTTCCAAGGAGTGGCCAGTGGATTTAAACTGTCAGCCTTCTGGTTAGCAGTCAAATGCCTTAGGCACTACACCACCAGAGCTCCCCTGTTGTACACAAGTTGCTATAAGTCAAAAGCAACCCAATGGCACTTAACAACAACTAGGAAGACTAGTTTATATGACTATTATTCAAATTTACACACTAACCACTCTTGCCAAATATGAAGAAATCGAAGATTTTACCAACTCCTGCAATCTGAAGTTGATCAAACATGCAATCAAGATTCATTGATAATTACTGGTGATTGGAATGTGAAAGCTGGAAACAAAGAAGGATAGGTGGTTGAAAAATATGGCCTTGGTGACAGAAAAGATGCCAGAGATTGCAGGATAGAACTTTGTAAGATCAATGACTTATTCATTGCAAATAATATTGCACCAACATAAATGGCAACTATACACATGGGCTTCATCAGATGGAATCAAATTGACTACATCTGTAGAAAGAGATGATGAATAAGCTCAATATCATCAGTCAGAACAAAGTCATCTGGTTAGACCAACTGCAGAACAGACCGTCAATTCCTCATATGCAAGTTCAAGTTGAAACTGAAGAAAATTTAAATAAGTCCATGAGCGCCAAAGTGCAACCTTGCATATATGGAATTTAGACTATCTCAAAAATAGATTTGATGTGTTGAACACTAATGACTGAAGACAAGACTAGTTGAGGAATGACACCAAGGACATCATATGTAAAGAATACAAAAGGTCATTAAAAAGACAGGAAGAAAGACCAAAATAGATGTCAGAAGAGACTCTGAAACTTGCTCTTAAACGTTAAAATGAAAGGAAGCAATGATGAAGTAAAAGAGCTGAATACAAATGGTGGCTTGAGAAGACAAAGTAAGATATTGCAAGGAAATTTGCAAAGACTTAGAGTTAGAAAACCAAAAGTAAAGAACATGCTCAGCATTTCACAAGCTAAAAAATATGAAGGAAAAATTCAACCCTCAAGTTTCAATACTGAAGAATTCTAAGGGCATAATATTGAAT